CCGATAGAGTCAACTGGCTCCTAGTCCGCATCCTTAGCCCACTACTCCAATTTCTCAAAGCCCATATCACCAATAGCGATGACTTCATCCGGAAACTAACATGTGTGCAATTACTCGACGGAGCATATTTCGGTAGTTTTGACGTTGAATCCTTTTACAGCAATGTGGACAACGCCAGGGCCGTTAACGCAATAATACAATTACCCATTTCTAATATCAATAATGTCAATCTTTATGGCTTATCGACTGAGGATGTTAAACTCCTACTGGACACTGTCGTTAGCACTGACATATTTATAGTATTACCGTCAAAAGAGGGGTCTAGAAGTGGGAAGCAGACTGGCACCAATATTGGCAATCGCATTCATTAATGAACTGAAACATCAAGTTATTCTCTCCCTTCCCCCATAATCTATGGTCGATATTTTCATGTGTTCAAATAGCGAATTTCAACTAAAAACTTGTCTGAAAGTCCTAAATAATTAGTGCTCTTCGATCAGGTTAATTTCCGAACTTCCGAAGGATGGCTGGTTAGCGTTTCTGAACTGTCTGGTTGCAATTGAAAAGAACAGGTTTGTAACGAGATGGTATCGGAAGCCAACCAATAAAAACAAACTCATTCACCTCCGTTCTTCACACCCCAACCGCACGAAGGTCAGTGTAATCAAGCAACTTGAGAATACCGCAAAAAACATCTCCACAGCAAAGCTGAAGCCAAAGATCTAGCGGACCAGATAGCGAGATGGAATGGGTACAATCATGGTACGGACACAGTTAATAACATGAAATCGAAAAAACCAGAGTGGAACAAAAATCGAGTTAGTTTGAAAATACCATACATATCGGAATGGTTTACATCTGAAGTTGAAAAACTTGTTCGAAGAAGCACTCTCCCTATTAACGTCATCATCATCCCACCCAGACATTGAGGAATATCGTGGTAAAGTCTCGACCCTACGACCAGCATTGCAACACACCTGAGTGTATTATCTGTTCAACAAACAAAACAGGCGGTTACAATACAATGGGCTGTGTGTACAAGATTGAATGTGAATGCGGAGAAAGCTAAATTGGAGAGACGGGGAGACCACTGCATTTCCGCATGACAGAACACATGAGAGCCTTGAAAAAACCGGATGCAACATCATACAAAAATATGCCCCTAGCACAAGATCGGAAAAACTGTCCCAAAATTTCATCCTCAACAACAACAGTCAAAATAATAGCTAAATCATCCAAAATTATCCGACGTAAATTAATAGAAGCACAATTTATTCAAAAATTCAAACCATCCATAAATCACAAAGAAGAAATGGTTCAAGCCCTCAAATATCTCCAATAATACCCATGGTAACCCGTTGGCTCTTACCACATATTTTCAGCAACCTTTCATCAGTATTATTCTTCTCCACATATCTCCTCATCTTGCCTATTCATATTCATATAATCACCAATATATAAATCACGACAAATTCCTAAAGAAATTCCATCTAGTTTCAACAAAAACCCAATTTATCGCCTTTTGCTGTTCACATATGTTTTCATTCAGTGTTGCACCTTACCTTGATGATGGCCTTAGCGTCGAAACGTTCGTAAATTCTGGTGCTCTGTCAACATTCCCTATTATTATTGCTAACGCTATTGTCAATACCAATATCATCAATCTGACATCGACATCACCATCAGTACAGTAGCTCTCATCACAAGGAACCAAGGTAACTTTCCAACTTCTTTGACCTAAAATTCACTTTATTGTGAATATAAAAATTAGGAGTATATATAAGTGATACAATTGTAAAAAAGCACTCCCTATGTAACTAATCAAGCAAATGTGTTCTATGATGCGGGCAATGCTTGCAGGTGGCAGGGTTACCTTCCGGAAATGGCTGAGTGAAGGACGGTAAGTCGATTTATGTCACGGACAAGAAAGTCTCAGCAAATGACTGAGCATGTTCTTGTAAAAACATATCGCTTGTGATTTATGTTCTCATTTTTTATAACGATCCGAGAAAACTTTCAGCTTATCATACCACCTGACGCCGTAGTACGACCAACGCTATTAGTGCTCTATCAGCGTAACTACTTTGATACAACCTTGGCTCTGCACTGATGTGACTATGATGAACCGAATGCTATATTTCGCCCGATTGTTTCCATCCGGTAATGCCTTCATCCTTCGGTATTTCTTATTGTGTGATCTCAACATAAACGGTTGTGACAGTTCAAATGACGGACAGTTTTTAGTAGAAATCAGTATTTAAGAGAGCAAAATAGTTTTCACTTGAATTCAGCATTTTGTTTGTCGTTTATATTTCATTATCAAATCTCTGCATTTCACTGTTTTATTATATGGTGCGATTTTTTGATTGCCTCTTGAAAGCAAGCGAGGATGTTCACGTTTGGATTTTCAAAGGAAGCGAGGGCATTTCCCTGAGGATTTTCGCGTTTTTGTAAATTTTGGAGATGTTTTCTTCCTTCCGTGACAAGTCAGCATATAGCTTGGTGCTTTCCTTTGTTTGTTATTATTAACTGAATGTTTCCCTTTCCTTTCATTTCTGAAACCATATTGTTGTTGAAATGAACAGAAATCAATGTAGTATCCATACATGCTCGAACGTATCACAATTTACCACTTCCGTTTCATGTTGCATTTGCATTGTTTATCTTCCCTTCTCATTTCGTGTTTCATGAAGACACTTTTAATTTTATCACTATTACTGTAAAATCGATTTTATATTTTTATTATTACTAAAAGTGTACATTGTTATTATAACTGGTGAGATGATTCCTGTCAAAATAAATCAGCATTGGTCACGCCAAGCGTCATAACTCTCGTAACTCAACAATTGCAGATAATATATGAGGATTTCTGTACTACTCAATCTTGGGTACAATACAGTATACAACATTCCTCCCAGTTTTTATATTCATAATAGAGAGAATTTCAATTTCTCCACTATACATGCCAATAGTGACTATTGAATATCGCCATTGGTCACGCCAAGCGTCGTAACTCTCGTAACTTACCAATTGGCGAAAATGTTAACCAAGATTTTTGTAGTACTCGATCTCGGCTATAACATGGTATATATCACGATTACAAATTTTTTCTTCGGGTGGGTACCAACTCAAATTATTTGTTGAATTTTTGTACTTATTACGAAATCGAAATTTTCGAGCATATCTCGATTACTGGCAAATCTATCATATAAGTTTTATTTTCTTGATCTGCTCTATAAAATGATGTACGAACTTCCCGGATTCATTCCCGCTGAATGGGTAAGAAATTCACATTTCTGAACACAACACATCAAATGAAAATTCCACCTCCGTCACTTGGCGAACTGTCACTGCGTTCGTACTTGGCGAAGTGTCTCTGTCAGCTTGCCGAGCACTCAAGCTGCGCGCACTCGAACAAACGCACGAGCAATATTTCCAGGAATGCGCACACTGTTCGTACTCGGCGAACCATCAGCTTATCCACTTTCACCAGCCTCGTTAATGCCTCTTGCTCTGTTTGTCTGAGTTCATTGCCCACACGTACTCGCAGAAAGGATCGTTGTTATTCAAACGTCATTGTTTAACGTTTGCGTCTCGCATGCTTGGAGTACGGCTTGAAGTGATGTTAGCAAATTGGAGACCCACATTGTCCTGGTGAGTGTGAATGGCAACCGTCATCGACAAACTGGCAAACAAAACAGTTTCAGTGGCCGTCTGAGCGTCAATCAATTTCGTTCGTTGGATTTTCAAAATTTTTGGATGAATTCAGCCAATGCGGCTTTACCACGAACTTTTGTCATTGGAACGTGCCAAAAATGTGATATGAACGAATGCAATGCTCGGAGATCCCGTTTATATCTCTGCGATGAAACAATGATAGTACACAATATGAGAGCCATCCCTACAGCCACCCTCTCACCTGCCAAAGTGCTCTTGTACTAGACTCATGAATGTGCTATGTTTGTGTGCATT